AAATCTATAATTTTGACCCATACAATGTATTGTTGGCTATTGCTACAAATATACCCCAGCGACTTAACACTGCTTTTGTGCTGCAGGGTCACATATGAATCTATGTCCAATTTTTGCGAAATGTAAAAGTATAAATAAAACACATCATGAAACACTCATTGTAATAAGATTGAACAGAAGTTACTGTTATTATTATATTAACACTACCAGTCAAAAGTTTGAAATAATTCAAATAAAATAAAAATTATTTAAATTAAAAGAAGTCTCTTCTGCTTAGCATTTACTGCATTTATTTGACTAAAAATACAGTAAAACAGTAATATTGTGTATAAGAGAGACTTCTTTGTAAAACATAAAATAATCATAATTATTCCATTGAATAAAAAGTTAATTGTGCCATTTTTTGCGACTTTTTTTCTGACAGTTATGACTTTATATATTCAGAATTGTAACATATAAAGTCAAAATTGTGAGATAACAAGTCAGAATTAACTTTATTATTGTTTTTTCATTATGTGGCAGAAGCAATAAAAAATAATTGCAAGATGTAAACTTCTTTCAAAAGCATTAAAAATCTTAGTTATTCCAAACTTTATGTATGTGTGTGCATATATATATATATATTGTAGTGCTGATTTGTTTTTTATATGTTGACATTACAATCAAGTAAGAAAAGTTGGAACTAATGTGAAAGTTACTTGAAACCTCTCAATAATACATAAAACTTATAATTATGAATTCAAGAAAGTTTTTTACAAATCAGAAACTCATCATGACAGTGATTCTGAGATGATGTAAACACAGCATTTATTTTCCAGCTCAAATAAAATTCAGATTCAGCTGAAGGTCTTTCTAAACGGTTGCTGCAGTGTAGGTTGATTTGATTGTGTTTCATCCCTGTGCTTTTATCTGTCGACCTGAATCTGCGTTTTGATTGGTCGCTCACAGCGCGGGGGCGGGGCGAACGGGCTGCTTCATCGTGATTGACATCATGCTGGACATGGCGGAGCGGGAAGGAGTCGTCGACATCTATAACTGTGTGAGAGAGCTGCGATCGCGCAGAGTCAACATGGTGCAGACCGAGGTACTCCTTCCTCACCTTTGACCTCTGTGTGTGAAGTGAATTATATTAATTTTTAATTAATTACATTTATATTTATGTGTAAGGTTAAAGGTTTAGAACAAACCCTGTCACACAAACACTGTAAAAAAAAATTTTTTAAAAAAGAGAATAGAAATGTTTTTTTTTTTTAAAGAGAGGGAAATAGGAATAAATTCACTGTTCTTTTCAAATATTTATTTTATTATAATTTACTTTTATGTGTTTATATTCATAATGTATTTATATTAAATAAATAAAAAATTTAACATTTAAATTTGAATAGAACTTTAATTTTTGTTATTTACATTTATATTTATGTGAAGTTAGAGGTTTAGAACAAACCCTGACACACAAAAGAGAGAATAGAGACTTTAAATAAATATATAAGAGTTGTAGGGCTAAATTCTAAGTTTTATTTTGTTAAAATATTTATTTTGTTATAATTTATTTTATGTATTTATATTATAACATTTTAAATAAAATGTAATTATTTTAAAATAAAATGTAATTAATAATACTAAAATTATTTTTTTATTGATATTTATATTTCACACAAATTAGATAGAATAGAGGCTTTAAAAAATAAAATAAAGAGAGATAAATAGGGATAAATGCAGAGTTCTAGCGAAATATTTATTTTATTATATTTTATTTTTCTGAATTTATATTATAAAATTAAAAAATGAATTTTTTTATTAAATATATTTATATTTATATGTAAAGTTAGAGGTTTAGAACAAGCCCTGGCACACAAAAGAGAGAATAGAGATTTTTTTAGGGATAAATATGGTTCTAGTATAAGAGGCTTTAGAAACGAGGCGGTAGAACAGAAATCTGTTGAAGCGCAGTGAAGGCACTCGTGTGTGTTCCTCCTGATTCCAGCACGTCAATCACGCCGATGCTATTTTAACCTGTGAGCATCTCATAAACACTCTCAACCAAGAGCCGAGCGGCCCGATGCAGGTGCTTATAGAGCCGCGATGTGTTTGAGGAGCGAAAGCAGATTATTGCGCTTGGTTTTTACACTCAGCTCCTGACGGGTTTCTGCAGCATTGCTCGGATCGCAGGCATCACTGTGTTTAATGAGAAGCGCAGCCTGATTCACCCTGCCTGAGTTTAGTGACCTTCAGACGTGTGTGTGTGTGTGTGTTTCTGTGTGTGCATCCGTGTGAGTGCGTGTGTGTGTGTGT